GACTGCTGCTGCTCCTTTTTAAAAAATTATTATTTCATATTTACTGAGGGTGCAATGATGATGATAAAACACCAGGAACGGAATTTATGTTTTTATAAATAGCAAAAAGAACAAGGATTATATTGTTGGCATTTAGACACAATAACTCTTGATGGATAACGTCTGCAGTGTCAGTAGCGAACGCCTCCCTAAACCGGGGACAGAGACGAACGACTCTCCGGATGCTTGATAATGACACAGTTATTGCAGAGAGTTTATTCCAGAAGTTAAGACGTAACCGTGAAACATCAGCCCGTGTAGTGTTTGCCTCAGATTCAGTCCAACAACAGAGCTTTGTAGCCGTCCTACAAATATGCATTATCAGAGCACATGTGAAACTGGGACACTTTTAATTACACTGTGCCTTGAGAATAAAGACTTCCATGATTAATTAAGTTGCCTTGAATTTCTTTTTTATCAGGTCTTTTTAAATAGTACAAAGCTCTTCAGTTCTTATCCTTAGAAAGAGGCATCTGTAGATAGAAATCTGAAATTATATTAATTAACTTTGTCAGAGCGGAGGGTAAAATCACTGGAATCACATTCTGTCTCATCTCAAGACAAGACTGCTGTGAAATTGCCAGCGACAGAAACATTTTTTTCTCATCGTATTGATTTTACAAATCTAAACGTTTTGAATTACATTGAAAGATCCCATATTATACTCCTCTTAATGAAATTAATGACAGTCTCATGTATGTCCCTAACGTGTGTCTTTCAAATTTTCCCCTGGTTTCAGCCCTGTTATGAACGGGTTGTTTCAGTGTCTGACGCTTTAAAATGCGGTTGATTTGTGGCTGTCCATTTCCCTCTTAAGGAAGAAGACTCTCTCTGACAGCACATAGCAAAACAGTTGACCGCAAGGTGTTTATGAGATCAAGATTTCTATCGCTTTGTTCATTTTCTCTCAGCAATAATTTTACATGGAAATACAGACATATTCACAGCCCACACAGGTTGTCCGGTAAAGTGCAGTTATAAAGCTCAGCAGTTTAGTGGTGCAAGTGTGTTTCAGTCACGTTTTCATGCTTGTTATGTTGTCTGTCTGAGTATTTGATTGTATTATGTGTGAGCACAGAGAGCAGGAAAGAAGCAAACACGCAACATGAAAACAGAGAAACCCATTCATTCCTTGTTTATTGGTTTCAAATCTGTCTTACAGTTGGTTTCTAAATGACCTAATCCCTCAGCGTTACAGTCTCCACACACTTTAGTTCTGGCCTGTGGGCAAAGGATCACAGCTAATGGTAGCAATTCTAGCACATTTAGCATTTTCCTTTTGATCTGAAGGAACGTCCATCAATAATAGAAGTAATCTGCTGGATCTTGAGGTCCTCA